AAACTAGAACAAACAATAAGCCAAAAACCAAAGGGAACAAAGAACAGAATGACTGGCAAACAGACAACCATTACATTCAACAACTCACAAGAAACTAAAGAAAAACTAGGGCTGTATACAGTATACACAAGGGGGCTAACAAGCTTAACAAGACATACCTGGGGAGACAAATCAAGGGGAACCAATGAACAAACGGACTACAAACTGACTACAAACACCACGGGAGACAGGAAGTGACATAAAAGTCCAGGGCAAGGCACAGAGAGCATGAAACAAAAACATGAAAGAGTCGATTTGTGAGGAGAGCAATCACATTTATTTTCTAAAACCAAAATAAAACTGAACACCTCAAAATTACAAAAAACAACAATATCTTTCAAAAAGGTCTCTTCAGTATAATGGATAAATAAAATAATGTTAAGTAAAATTAAAAAGCCGAAGCCTTCTAGCAGTGGATGTGCTGGTTTGGGCCTCATTGCCGGCTGCAGTCATGTCCTCATTTCATATATAAAACACCTCTGATTCACAATTACTTGCTAAGGAACTCACATTCACATAAAGCCTTGTTGAAAAGTTTGGATGAGTAAAGGCGAAACGCACAAAACGCAGTACTTTCAGTGACCTGTAATAGTCAGTATCACGTCTTTTGTAGCAGAAATAAACTGCTGCAGAAAAAGCTAGGTCCATGCCAAACGTAATGTGTAACTGCAACACTCATTTCAAATGTAGTGGAGTAAAGAGTAAAAGTTGCTAATATCTTTGATACTCAGTACAACTACAAAGTATCCAAAAATATACTCAAGTACAGTAACTAATTACATTTACTCCAATACTTTACACCTCTGGCTCCGGCTCCAAAAACCTGTTCACAGTGAAGGGGGCGTATCGGTTCAGAAACCCAACCAATGAAATACGCTCTCACGGTCCACACTCGAATCCTATTGGTTTGACCATCGTCAGACTTTGAAGTCAAGAACGCTGTCACACAAGAGACGACCATGAACAAGGGTACAAGAGAACGATTCAGTCCCTTAAAAAGATTTGTTCGAAAACCCAAGTTCGTTCATAAACGCCAATAGTGCTCCAACCCATTTTGTATTTTACCGAGGTGTGGTTAATTTGAATCCCGCCTCACTTTTGAAGGGTGTGAACCGACGGAAACTACACGACTCGCAAGCCCGGAAAAGAACGGTTTCGTTGTGACTAAGTTACTCCGGAGTCGTGGACAGCTGTGCTTGTTACGTCAACAACAATGGCAGAATTTGTTAAAGCGCAAATTAAGGGTGACAAAGTAGTTGTGTTCTTGAAGCCGACCTGTACTTACTGCATACTCGCTAAGGATGTTTTGTCGAAGTATAAATTCAAAAGTGGACACCTGGATTTGATTGACATCAGCGGACGCAGTGACATGGGCAGCATACAAGACTGTCTTCAACAGATCACAGGCGCCCGCACCGTAAGTAACGTTACTTTGACAGTGGTGTATTATATATATTATTATAGTATTATATATATGTATATATATATATATATATATATAAAATTTTTTGTTATATTAGGCCAGACCGTCAGTCGTTACGTCACACAATCACAGATACTTTAATTCGAAATATAGAGTCTAAAATGCAACTATGTATGAACTTAAAATGAAAGATTTTTAATCTTCTTCTGAGTGAATTTTGAGTCCCATAGTTTATTATTATGGTGGCAAATATGACTAGATTGTTTTTAGCCGCATATTCACACAAATGCTGAGTCACCAGTATTTGGACCAGCAGCTTTGACCCTGCCCATTGCAAATGTTTAATCATATGCTTTATTCATTTAATTTATTCCATTTATTTACATCCATGTACTCTTTGCAGGTTCCTCGGGTCTTCATAGGGGAACAGTGTGTTGGTGGAGGAAGTGACGTTGACAGTCTGGACCGTTCTGGAAAACTGGAAGGCATGTTGCAGGCAATCGGATCTCTGCAGTGAAGGTATACTTCACAGTCCTTCTTCATAAAATATTAAAAACTAAATATACAACATCATTACACCAGTGGTTCTAAACTGGTGTAGCTTCATGGCCCAGATTTTACATTAGACATCAAGTGGCCACCAACCCAAAATTGTGTATCGTACACAAAACTATCCATAAAATGTTTTTAAAAACTGCCTTTTCTCTCGGCAGCCAGTTATTCATTCCACAAAACATATTTTGGTCAGCACAAACCATATTTGACCTACAATTTGAATGCAATCTGGCTCCAGTGTTATTTTAGTATCACTGAAATTATTTTTTTATATATATATATATATTTTGAATTTGTTTTATTTTTCATTTGAGTTATTTGTCACTTTTATTAGCTTTTGTTTTTTTTATATGCCTATGTACTGTAGACTTTATTTCAATGCTTTAGTCATTTTAGTTAAACAAGGTTAACAGCATTAAAATGAGAAATGTTGCTTTGGCAACTAGTTGAAATTTTTTATATTTGATAAAAAAAAATTGTATTTCAAGTATCACAATTTCACTTAACTATAAGAACCATGTTTGGCTCATGTTGTCTGTTACCCTACATAGTTTTCATCTGCAGTATCATTGCTTTTCCCACCATCAACGACCATATTAGAACAGACTTGTGATTCATTTTTGGGTCACGACCCACCCCTTGAGAACCACAGGTTTAGATTTAAGCCAAAGAGAAAGACTCAGAGCAAACATGCATCCTGATGCAACATGTGCGCGACCGTCCATTTTCAGTGTAATGAATAATCTGTGAATTTTAACATCTTTTACTGTACTCAGTTGATTGGACTGCCAAAGGTACAGCATTTTTACACAAAGATGATACCCCTAAAATTTAATTGAATGAAATACTAGCTTACTAATTAAATACTGTGCAGTATGTATGGTTAAATAGTAGGCATTATGTAATGATAAATGTTTCAAACAATAGAATGCTATTGCATGACTTTGTATGGTTTAGTTTTAAGCCACAGACTCTCAGAACAAGCACACATCCTTCTAAAATGTCTTTATTCAGCATAAGATGAGGGTCAACATAACTGGATTAGACTAAAGACAGCCAGAATCGGCTCTACGTCGACCATACCAACTTCACTAAGAGGCGATCCACATGCTGGATGCGTACTTTGTACGTTATTAGTTGAAATAAAAATCTCAGATGTACATGTTACAAAAATAGTTGCATCAAATTAATCTCATGGGGGAAAAAATAAATATTTGAAATTTATTCAAGTCATATTGCCGGAGTAACCACTGAATTCAGAATGAAAGAAATCTCACCATGACATAACATGGCTGACCATGAGAGTGACATCAATCTCTGGAGAGAGTATAAGATCGACCCTACCCTGTTTAATACTTTGGGGTTAATCCATCGCAGAGGAAGTTTATTGCACCAATCAGGCGTAATTGTTCGTATAGTATTATCCACATAGAAGAGTACCGGCGCATAGGATCCACCAGTGAGAATTCACAGCTGTCTGCTTAATATCACAGGGTCAGAGGTCAATGTTCGTGTGAATACAGTACATCAGAATCCACCGTCAACCCAGAGGTCAAACAAAGGTCTCTTTCATCCTGTATTTAAATAAATCTCCAATTTGCATCCTCTGTTTTTCGCCCTCCCTTCCGGTCCGCAGGGCGTCAAGAAGGGGTCACATGATGCTGCAGCGAGACTTGCGGATCTGCCGCCTGCGTTGCTGGTACTCGCTGAGCTCCTGTAGGTAACCTCTGGAGGGCCAGCGCAGTCGCTCCACCTGCTCGCGCTCCTCGTCTGTCAAAAAAGCATCATCGGGACTTAGAAAATATTGTTACAACATTCCCTCCTGCTGAATGCCAGTGCATTTAAACAAAGCATTATATCCGTCCACCAGATTTTTCTTTGTCTTGTTCTTCAATTGAAATATTGGCTGAAAATAATGTAATTGTCTCTTATATGTGTTTCTCATTGAGTGCATTTTAAAAAAGAAAAGAAATTAGAAGTTCATCTTAAAAAAAACCTGAAGGGAGCTTGATGAAAAATAAATATTTTTCCTGTCACGGTTTGCTCGTTCCATTCATTGACTCACAAATACACAATTCATGAGATGACACTCTTTTATTTATTCTCCAACTGCGTGTGGAAGGGCAGGACGTGCTAATTAGGTGTAATGATGATTCATTCATTTCAAAAGTGACCTTACATTTGCTCCCAGTGTTTCAGAATAAAGCTTTGACAGAAGCCGGTAGTGATTTGCATGGGCTTATGTGCAGCACCAGCTGTTAGAAGTGCTCTCAGGGTGTTGGGAACAGGCTTTTGTCACAGTTAGAGGCGATTATGTGTGTGCATGTGATTTAATGTGCTTGAACATGCTTTCCAGGTGGTCAAGTGGACTTCTCACCTGATAGCTCCAGGAAGTCAGGCTTGTGGCTGAAGATCAGGTAGTTATTGGCAATGAAATGGAGGAGCCAGACATATAGCTGGTCAGCGTTGTGACACTGTGACGAGAGAGAGAGTGAACATGAGACCAGATAGAATGTTAGAGACTATAATAAACATGTTGGAAGTATCACAGATGGCATTTTTGGGATAGTATAGTACTGTACTTGTACTATTTTTAGCAATTTTGAAAGCAAATGTTTGGTATGCATGGAAAAACCCTATGATTTAATACAGTTGATCAAATGTGTAGTATACAATGCTGTTATTTTTTACTAAAACTATCAAAAATAATTTTCAGTAATTGAAAAATATATAAATTATAGATGAAAAAAAAACAGAAATTGCTTTGGCAGCTACCTAAAAGCACAAAAAACACATAAAAATGACAAACCTACGTAAAATGAATAAAACTTAAACTAAAATTCAAATAAAAACAAAACATAAAGATAACAGCTAATTAAAAATATTAATAAAAACGATAGTGTATAAATAATACTACAATAACAATAATTATTAACAATAATCTTTTGAACTTTCTATTCATCAAAGAATCCTGAAAAAAAATGAATCTCAGTTTCCATCAAAAATATTAAGCGGTTTTCAACATTGATAATAATAAAAAATATTTATTGAGTAGCAAATCAACATATTTGTATGATTTCTGAAGACTGGAGTAATGGCTGCTAAAAATCAGCGTTGCTATCAAAGGAATATTTTAAAATATATTAAAATAGAAAACCGTTATATTAAATTGTAATAATATTTCCCAATATTACTATTTTTACAGTATTTTTGATCAATTTAATTCATTGGTCAGCACAAGTTGCTTCTTTAAAAAAAATAATAATTTACCAACCACAAATGTTTGAACAGTAGTGTATATTACAGTTTGAAAAATATATCTTTGCATACTGGTTCACATACTATATATTTTTTTAAATAGGCAATATGGGGTATATATATTTTAACTGTTAGCAGTGTTCTATTATTATGGGTCAAAAACACTCAAAGCAAAGGAAATAAACCTTCATCAAACAAAACGTCATTAAACACACCCCTGCTGACATAGAGGTGTAAAGACTCACCTTTGCTTTCTTCAGTAAGCGAATCACGCTGATGCCCATAGACGCTAGCTCTCGACTGGGCATACTCTGAAGATACGCGCAGACACACACCTCACACAGGTGCTGCAGCCGTTTCACTTGGTACATCTCTGCGCAGACGAGCACGGCCATGGCCTGCAGCACACTGGCTGAACACACAGACACACAGCACTGTCAATCACCTCCTGTTTTCCCCTCCATCAACCTCAGTTAATATTCACCCACTGCCTATCAAGCTCAGTCTTTATTTGCATCTTTTCTCTCAACAGCATTGTTTATTGTCTTCAATATGAAAGGCAAAGCATCCATCACATTGATTGACAGATGAGTGAAGCAATCTGACATACTAAACCTTCCTTCATTGTTTAATGATAAATACGACCTGAATCACTACATGTCATTATGATTGAAACATCTGGATTATGTTGCACTATACAGTGAATATAAAAGGCCATTGTTTGGCACAACTCATAGAAGAACCCCTTCATTCTCACTTCATATTGTAAGTATTAATATTATTACATAATAAGAAAAAAAAATGTAAGAATTGAAATAGTTTCTTGAGCAGCAAATCAGTATATTAGTATGATTTCTGAAGGATCATGTCACACTGAAGACTGGAGTAATTGCTGCTTTGCCATCACAGGAATAAATGATAAAATATATTAAAATAGAAAGCAGTTCTTTTAAATTGTAATACTATTTCACAATATTACTGTTTTTACTGTATTTTTTCATCAACTAAATATAGCATTTAAAAATCTTGCTGACCCCAAACTTGAACAGTTATGTAAGTTTTCAATAAAACACTATTTTATGAAGCAAATTAATTCACTCATGAATACTGTTACTACTGTTAACATAGTGTATTAGAACGTCTGAAACACTTTATTGACCAATCAGCATCCGGGACCAGAACTATCTATTTTATAAGAGCATTTAAAGGGATAGTTTGCCCAAAAATGAAATCTCTGTCATCACTTACACATCTTCATGTTGTTCCAAAGAAGAAGAAAAAAAGACATTTTGAAAAAAGGGTTAAACTCTGGTGGATAGGTTTGGACACCCCTGCTTTAAAAGCCTTGAAAACCACACTCTCACCTGGACAGCAGGTGTCAGTGTAGAGGTACTCCAGGAAAGCTAGAAAGGTATCGGATGAGACTCCATGGATTGGCACCACACGACTTCGTGCCTCTGCGTACTTCCCACTGAACATGGCAGCCATAACATCACAGCGGGCCACAAGTACGGCTCTGTGCGCTGGCAGCACGCTTCCTGAAAGCAGACGCACAGCTGACCTCTTAAACACACCCATGGGGTCAAGCATTACAGAGGAGCTCTGACTTAAACACAAGCCCTTCCCTGGTACTTTCCACCTTTGAGCACTCTGAATCAATGTATCATTGTGTGTGCCTGTGTGTGTACATGTTCATGCACATGCAGGGTTAGCATTGACTCTTGCCTTGGACCATGAAGATGACATCAGAGTATAGAGGGGAATTGAAGAGGCTTCCTAGTGTCAAAGGACCTTGTTGAGAGCGGGGTGTGGGTGTGTCCCTGGGGGCCTGCAACCAGAACGAATCAACACTGCAGTGCACAATCTGAGGCGATGAATACTGTTAATACTGTGAGCATTTATAATTGAGAAATCAGGTCAGCCATGCAAATCATTAAAAAAAACCATTGCACAGTTCGGTTCTATAATCAGAGCACCACCTGTCTGTCAGAGGGATACCTTTTCTCTCCCAATGAATGAGCGTATCCTGTCCATCAGCTGGGCCACGGCCAAAGGGTTCTTCAGTTTTTCAGCAATTGCTTCCTCTAAGTATTCCCATTCCCAGGCCCCTGCGAAAAAATATGAACACGAACTATACCAGGATACAAAAAGCCACAAATAATGTGATAGAACAGCTGTTTTCCTCAAGAATCAAGCTTTCTTGGTGGCAGCTAAGAAAATAATATTTAGCTGGTGTTACTTCATAGTAAATACATAGTTTCCACTGTTCTATCACATAAAAATGTTCATCCGTCACAATTCAGCTGGTTTAATATTAACTCTGCCTCATTCATAAATCTGTCTAGACACAAACCGAGCGGGATTTGATCCGAAAGAACCACGCACAATGAGTTTCCGTGCATCATTTACGTTAATGTAACGACTGCCCTTGGCTCACGGTAGGAAAATGGCCTCTGGAAAAATCACACTATATATCAGCAGCAGGGTGAGAGGATCTCATCAGTATGGGCCTCACCTTCTCACCTTCTGAGCATGGCCTCACTCTGATAAATAAGTCTATAATATCCATTCCTGTTTCCTGGACTGTTAAAGCCCCGACTGAACACCTGATTGAGATGCATGCCCATCCTTCCAGCCTCCATTCTGCATCAGAGTTCCCAAAGCATGGAGAACGGGATGTAATACTCCTGACTTGTGAGGAATGTTGTGGCAGGCTAATACAAGCATAGAATCACAATTGTGTACTTGGGTGAATGTTACGAAAACATGTCCATGTTCACCCCAAAATCAAAATAAATGTATTGTTTGCATAAAGAAAATGCTCTGTGACATTATGTTCATGACATTTATGTTTTTCCCTCATTAAAAACTGTTAACAAAAATTAAAAGTACATTTTAGGCCTTGAAAAAGCTGTTCCAATTTACATGGAGCATGTTACCTCATGGCAGCTGCCATGTTGAGATCACATGACCAGCTGAATCTACTTGCTTTGTCTTGGTAACCCCGTTAATATAAGGAATGTTAAGCTCACAGAATAAATTAAACATGGCTGATTTGAATAGCGCATTTCTACAACAGTGTCAGTAACTGAAAAAGTTTGTTGTTGCGTCATGCTGCTTTCACACCACTAGGAGTCAGTATTATTATATGCAATAATTGTATTGTGTGGTTTGCCATATAGCTGCCAATATAAACAAAAAATTACCGAGTGCAATCCTCATTACCTTAATGTGTCTGGATGCTTTATTTTTTGTTATTTTGTTATTCCCATTATTCTCAGTGGTGGTGACTGTCGTTAGATTTTGTTTTGTAAATTACTATAATACAATTCATTTTAAATCAGCATAAAATAAAGGCAGTTTAATAAATACTATGATACAATTTAAATATGTTACGATTTAAATTATAACCATTTATTTATTGCATTATGGTAAAGCATAAAGATAATTTCTTAGATAAATGCTTAAAAAAAATCTTATTTAATGGCCCAAAAACAGCCAACCTTTTATTTAAGCAAAACATTCTTTTTCTTTTGATTTTAAGGAGAAAATGTTTGTTTGTTTTTTCATTAATTTTGTTTGTATTGTATTGTATTATGGTAATGAGGATTAGGGAGAGTTCAAAGTTCCAAAAACAGTCAACAGTTTATTTAAGCAAAACATTCCTGATTGAGATGCATGCCCATCCTTCCAGCCTCCATTCTGCATCAGAGTTCCCAAAGCATGGAGAACGGGATGTAATACTCCTGACTTGTGAGGAATGTTGTGGCAGGCTAATACAAGCATAGAATCACAATTGTGTACTTGGGTGAATGTTACGAAAACATGTCCATGTTCACCCCAAAATCAAAATAAATGTATTGTTTGCATAAAGAAAATGCTCTGTGACATTATGTTCATGACATTTATGTTTTTCCCTCATTAAAAACTGTTAACAAAAATTAAAAGTACATTTTAGGCCTTGAAAAAGCTGTTCCAATTTACATGGAGCATGTTACCTCATGGCAGCTGCCATGTTGAGATCACATGACCAGCTGAATCTACTTGCTTTGTCTTGGTAACCCCGTTAATATAAGGAATGTTAAGCTCACAGAATAAATTAAACATGGCTGATTTGAATAGCGCATTTCTACAACAGTGTCAGTAACTGAAAAAGTTTGTTGTTGCGTCATGCTGCTTTCACACCACTAGGAGTCAGTATTATTATATGCAATAATTGTATTGTGTGGTTTGCCATATAGCTGCCAATATAAACAAAAAATTACCGAGTGCAATCCTCATTACCTTAATGTGTCTGGATGCTTTATTTTTTGTTATTTTGTTATTCCCATTATTCTCAGTGGTGGTGACTGTCGTTAGATTTTGTTTTGTAAATTACTATAATACAATTAATTTTAAATCAGCATAAAATAAAGGCAGTTTAATAAATACTATGATACAATTTAAATATGTTACGATTTAAATTATAACCATTTATTTATTGCATTATGGTAAAGCATAAAGATAATTTCTTAGATAAATGCTTAAAAAAAATCTTATTTAATGGCCCAAAAACAGCCAACCTTTTATTTAAGCAAAACATTCTTTTTCTTTTGATTTTAAGGAGAAAATGTTTGTTTGTTTTTTCATTAATTTTGTTTGTATTGTATTGTATTATGGTAATGAGGATTAGGGAGAGTTCAAAGTTCCAAAAACAGTCAACAGTTTATTTAAGCAAAACATTTTTATTTTATTTTATTTTTATTTTTTGGGGGGCAAAATATTATTTTTTTATTTATTTACTAACTTAAAGCGATGAGAATTTGGGAGGAAAATGTACTTAATTGTCATGAAAATAATGCCACAATGCAAAAAATCTTAACGGTCCAAAAACAGTCAACATTTTATTTTAGCAAAACATAACTCTTTAATTCTTTCTTTTGATTTTGGGGTCAAATATAACATGACGTTACTGAGACGTTTTGTGAGATTCAGCACTTTATAACCATAAATTAAAGATGTGTTATAGAGGCACAAATATTGTACATCAGATCTTCTGTTTTTTCTCTCTTATGTTGCCTCATATGCATATACAGTCACACACACATACAAACCTTCCTTCATTGTTTAATGATAAATACGACCTGAATCACTACATGTCATTATGATTGAAACATCTGGATTATGTTGCACTATACAGTGAATATAAAAGGCCATTGTTTGGCACAACTCATAGAAGAACCCCTTCATTCTCACTTCATATTGTAAGTATTAATATTATTACATAATAAGAAAAAAAAATGTAAGAATTGAAATAGTTTCTTGAGCAGCAAATCAGTATATTAGTATGATTTCTGAAGGATCATGTCACACTGAAGACTGGAGTAATTGCTGCTTTGCCATCACAGGAATAAATGATAAAATATATTAAAATAGAAAGCAGTTCTTTTAAATTGTAATACTATTTCACAATATTACTGTTTTTACTGTATTTTTTCATCAACTAAATATAGCATTTAAAAATCTTGCTGACCGTTTTCAACATTGATAATAATAAAAAATATTTATTGAGTAGCAAATCAACATATTTGTATGATTTCTGAAGACTGGAGTAATGGCTGCTAAAAATCAGCGTTGCTATCAAAGGAATATTTTAAAATATATTAAAATAGAAAACCGTTATATTAAATTGTAATAATATTTCCCAATATTACTATTTTTACAGTATTTTTGATCAATTTAATTCATTGGTCAGCACAAGTTGCTTCTTTAAAAAAAATAATAATTTACCAACCACAAATGTTTGAACAGTAGTGTATATTACAGTTTGAAAAATATATCTTTGCATACTGGTTCACATACTATATATTTTTTTAAATAGGCAATATGGGGTATATATATTTTAACTGTTAGCAGTGTTCTATTATTATGGGTCAAAAACACTCAAAGCAAAGGAAATAAACCTTCATCAAACAAAACGTCATTAAACACACCCCTGCTGACATTGAGGTGTAAAGACTCACCTTTGCTTTCTTCAGTAAGCGAATCACGCTGATGCCCATAGACGCTAGCTCTCGACTGGGCATACTCTGAAGATACGCGCAGACACACACCTCACACAGGTGCTGCAGCCGTTTCACTTGGTACATCTCTGCGCAGACGAGCACGGCCATGGCCTGCAGCACACTGGCTGAACACACAGACACACAGCACTGTCAATCACCTCCTGTTTTCCCCTCCATCAACCTCAGTTAATATTCACCCACTGCCTATCAAGCTCAGTCTTTATTTGCATCTTTTCTCTCAACAGCATTGTTTATTGTCTTCAATATGAAAGGCAAAGCATCCATCACATTGATTGACAGATGAGTGAAGCAATCTGACATACTAAACCTTCCTTCATTGTTTAATGATAAATACGACCTGAATCACTACATGTCATTATGATTGAAACATCTGGATTATGTTGCACTATACAGTGAATATAAAAGGCCATTGTTTGGCACAACTCATAGAAGAACCCCTTCATTCTCACTTCATATTGTAAGTATTAATATTATTACATAATAAGAAAAAAAAATGTAAGAATTGAAATAGTTTCTTGAGCAGCAAATCAGTATATTAGTATGATTTCTGAAGGATCATGTCACACTGAAGACTGGAGTAATTGCTGCTTTGCCATCACAGGAATAAATGATAAAATATATTAAAATAGAAAGCAGTTCTTTTAAATTGTAATACTATTTCACAATATTACTGTTTTTACTGTATTTTTTCATCAACTAAATATAGCATTTAAAAATCTTGCTGACCCCAAACTTGAACAGTTATGTAAGTTTTCAATAAAACACTATTTTATGAAGCAAATTAATTCACTCATGAATACTGTTACTACTGTTAACATAGTGTATTAGAACGTCTGAAACACTTTATTGACCAATCAGCATCCGGGACCAGAACTATCTATTTTATAAGAGCATTTAAAGGGATAGTTTGCCCAAAAATGAAATCTCTGTCATCACTTACACATCTTCATGTTGTTCCAAAGAAGAAGAAAAAAAGACATTTTGAAAAAAGGGTTAAACTCTGGTGGATAGGTTTGGACACCCCTGCTTTAAAAGCCTTGAAAACCACACTCTCACCTGGACAGCAGGTGTCAGTGTAGAGGTACTCCAGGAAAGCTAGAAAGGTATCGGATGAGACTCCATGGATTGGCACCACACGACTTCGTGCCTCTGCGTACTTCCCACTGAACATGGCAGCCATAACATCACAGCGGGCCACAAGTACGGCTCTGTGCGCTGGCAGCACGCTTCCTGAAAGCAGACGCACAGCTGACCTCTTAAACACACCCATGGGGTCAAGCATTACAGAGGAGCTCTGACTTAAACACAAGCCCTTCCCTGGTACTTTCCACCTTTGAGCACTCTGAATCAATGTATCATTGTGTGTGCCTGTGTGTGTACATGTTCATGCACATGCAGGGTTAGCATTGACTCTTGCCTTGGACCATGAAGATGACATCAGAGTATAGAGGGGAATTGAAGAGGCTTCCTAGTGTCAAAGGACCTTGTTGAGAGCGGGGTGTGGGTGTGTCCCTGGGGGCCTGCAACCAGAACGAATCAACACTGCAGTGCACAATCTGAGGCGATGAATACTGTTAATACTGTGAGCATTTATAATTGAGAAATCAGGTCAGCCATGCAAATCATTAAAAAAAACCATTGCACAGTTCGGTTCTATAATCAGAGCACCACCTGTCTGTCAGAGGGATACCTTTTCTCTCCCAATGAATGAGCGTATCCTGTCCATCAGCTGGGCCACGGCCAAAGGGTTCTTCAGTTTTTCAGCAATTGCTTCCTCTAAGTATTCCCATTCCCAGGCCCCTGCGAAAAAATATGAACACGAACTATACCAGGATACAAAAAGCCACAAATAATGTGATAGAACAGCTGTTTTCCTCAAGAATCAAGCTTTCTTGGTGGCAGCTAAGAAAATAATATTTAGCTGGTGTTACTTCATAGTAAATACATAGTTTCCACTGTTCTATCACATAAAAATGTTCATCCGTCACAATTCAGCTGGTTTAATATTAACTCTGCCTCATTCATAAATCTGTCTAGACACAAACCGAGCGGGATTTGATCCGAAAGAACCACGCACAATGAGTTTCCGTGCATCATTTACGTTAATGTAACGACTGCCCTTGGCTCACGGTAGGAAAATGGCCTCTGGAAAAATCACACTATATATCAGCAGCAGGGTGAGAGGATCTCATCAGTATGGGCCTCACCTTCTCACCTTCTGAGCATGGCCTCACTCTGATAAATAAGTCTATAATATCCATTCCTGTTTCCTGGACTGTTAAAGCCCCGACTGAACACCTGATTGAGATGCATGCCCATCCTTCCAGCCTCCATTCTGCATCAGAGTTCCCAAAGCATGGAGAACGGGATGTAATACTCCTGACTTGTGAGGAATGTTGTGGCAGGCTAATACAAGCATAGAATCACAATTGTGTACTTGGGTGAATGTTACGAAAACATGTCCATGTTCACCCCAAAATCAAAATAAATGTATTGTTTGCATAAAGAAAATGCTCTGTGACATTATGTTCATGACATTTATGTTTTTCCCTCATTAAAAACTGTTAACAAAAATTAAAAGTACATTTTAGGCCTTGAAAAAGCTGTTCCAATTTACATGGAGCATGTTACCTCATGGCAGCTGCCATGTTGAGATCACATGACCAGCTGAATCTACTTGCTTTGTCTTGGTAACCCCGTTAATATAAGGAATGTTAAGCTCACAGAATAAATTAAACATGGCTGATTTGAATAGCGCATTTCTACAACAGTGTCAGTAACTGAAAAAGTTTGTTGTTGCGTCATGCTGCTTTCACACCACTAGGAGTCAGTATTATTATATGCAATAATTGTATTGTGTGGTTTGCCATATAGCTGCCAATATAAACAAAAAATTACCGAGTGCAATCCTCATTACCTTAATGTGTCTGGATGCTTTATTTTTTGTTATTTTGTTATTCCCATTATTCTCAGTGGTGGTGACTGTCGTTAGATTTTGTTTTGTAAATTACTATAATACAATTCATTTTAAATCAGCATAAAATAAAGGCAGTTTAATAAATACTATGATACAATTTAAATATGTTACGATTTAAATTATAACCATTTATTTATTGCATTATGGTAAAGCATAAAGATAATTTCTTAGATAAATGCTTAAAAAAAATCTTATTTAATGGCCCAAAAACAGCCAACCTTTTATTTAAGCAAAACATTCTTTTTCTTTTGATTTTAAGGAGAAAATGTTTGTTTGTTTTTTCATTAATTTAGTTTGTATTGTATTGTATTATGGTAATGAGGATTAGGGAGAGTTCAAAGTTCCAAAAACAGTCAACAGTTTATTTAAGCAAAACATTTTTATTTTATTTTATTTTTATTTTTTGGGGGGCAAAATATATATTTTTTTATTTATTTACTAACTTAAAGCGATGAGAATTTGGGAGGAAAATGTACTTAATTGTCATGAAAATAATGCCACAATGCAAAAAATCTTAATGGTCCAAAAACAGTCAACATTTTATTTTAGCAAAACATAATTCTTTAATTCTTTCTTTTGATTTTGGGGTCAAATATAACATGACGTTACTGAGACGTTTTGTGAGATTCAGCACTTTATAACCATAAATTAAAGATGTGTTATAGAGGCACAAATATTGTACATCAGATCTTCAGTTTTTTCTCTCTTATGTTGCCTCATATGCATATACAGTCACACACACACACACACATATATACAGATCTTTCTATCCTCCCAAGCATGGTAATCAGCCCCACAGCTCCAGGGTCTCATAGAGTGGACTGCCGTCATACATGCACGTGTAGAGAACCATAAATCACCCAGGCCTTAGACACAAACAAACAGCCTCCAGACTAAAGCCATTTTAATTATGAAACCGTCCTATAAAAATCCTTCATTTTAAACACAAAAGAAAAGTATATATAATAACAAATATTTAAAAAAAAGTTTAAATATTACAAATGTTTTATATGATTATTAGTATCTTTCTTGTTCTCTATATGTAATGTCATTTTTGTCTAAAAGAAACCACTGAGTTACTAAGATCTCATCTGTGATTTTTCTTTCTTATGGAAAGAAAAAGCCATAAACGTCAATATATTGTGCCCTTTATCCAACAGCAGTTGCCCTGAACAACATCAGCCGCAATATTGCAAGCAGCGCACGTTCTCTCTCACCTCTGTAAAGAAACATTAACGTCTCCCACAGGCATAAACAGAGTAGTGGGTCCTTCACAACCAGCCGTGAGAGGTGTCCGGGAGGGTGTCCGTCTGCTCTGGGTAGATCATCTATGCCTCCATCCCAGGTGGACAAAAGTGAGTGGGGGCCGTCTCTGTCCCTGCACGTGCAGCGCGAAACAGGCCTTTCCCAGGCCTGCCGTCCCACCAGCAGATGTCTGAAGTATGGGCTAATGGCACACAGAACGGACGCGTGTGCCCAGCCCAGCTCCTTCCCAGAGTCCCCGCCGTAGAATGCCACATCAGCAAACTGAACGCCGCGTTCAAGGAGCCACTGCAAGTCCTGAGAGAAGGTGGACTCCTCCACTCTCACCGGGGGAAGACGCGCTGAAAGACATGGACGGGATGTTATAGGACGGCTTTCTTGCTCAGATGTTGCTCTTTCGTAGCTCAGGAGACTAAATGTGGGTCTGAGTTATATTTCATTCAAGTATCTACTTCGGAGCTGAAATGTCTTCTAAAATACCTTAAAATGAGACAATTAATATTATACATGGCGTAAGAATACAGAGATATCAAATGAAGAGAAATACTGTGTGAGTTCAAACTTTGTAATAACCAGTAAAACCAGTAATAATGTAAAACATTATTACAATTTAAAGAAAACTGGGTCCCATTTTATATTAAGTGGCCTTAACTACTATGTACTTACATTTAAATTAATCATTTGGTACAATGCACTTATTGTGTACATACATGTTTTTACATTGTACTTATAATTTAAAAATGCCTGCATGTAATTACATCTGTAATTAATTTCTGTAACTACATTTATAATTACACTGTTAACCCATCCCTTACACCTTAATCCACCCTTAAACCTACCCAAACCACCAAACCTGTCCCTAACTTTACCCATAGCCCACCTCAATAGCAGCAAAAGTATTTTGCAATACAATATGAACACAATAAGTACATTGTACTTATTTGTTGATGTAGGTACATAGTAGTGAAGGCCACTTAATATAAAGTGGGACCGAAAACTGTTTTCTATTTTAATATATTTTAAATTGTAATTTATTCATGTGATGGCAAATCTGAATTTTCAGAAGCAATTACTCCAGTCTTCAGTGTCACATTATCCTTCAGATATCACTCTAATCTGCTGATTTGAGACATTTATATGGACATTAGAAACATTTCTTATTATTATCAATGTTGAAAACAACAGTGCCTCTTAATATATTTGCGGAAACGGTGATACATTGTTTTCAGGATTCGTTGATCAATGAAAGTTCAAAAGAACAGCATTTTTTGAAATAACATTTATTTGAAAAAACATTATAAGTGTTTTATTGATACTTTTGATCAATTAAATGTATTCTTGCTGAATACAATTATTAATTTCTTGTAAAAAAAAAAAAATTGTTTGGATGCCATATCATTTCCAGTGCTCTTTGAATTTAATCTTTAGTTAGAAATTGAAGTTTTACTTCCTTACATTCAAATATTCTCAAAATAATCCCAAATCATAGTATGTTGAAACAATTATGCTAAAACTCTATTTCCAGTGTATTTTCAAAGTATGCATCCTTGCAGGTGTTCAATATTGCTGACAGCTGATCTATTTCATTTCGATGTTCTCTAGGAGAAACAACTGTGATATTAAAAAGATATAATCTGTGATTATTGTTTTCTGTAGGGAATGCTAAAGAACTTCTGGAAGTACAAAAGGATGTGAGGGTGAGGAAGATAAAAGAAATAGGTAAGAGAAAGGGAGAAATAAGTTGAGCTAAGCAGAGGAGGATGATGGGTAAGGAATTTTTTGTGTGTGAAGGAAACAAGATGGAGAAAGAGAATGATGAGACAAGCAAAGCAGAGGAGATGGGATGAGTAAGGGATGCGGTAATAAGACGGGAGCAATGAGAAAAGTGACATGAAAGCAAATCGCCAACGAGGAGGATTATGGGAAGGCCACATCAATGCCAGGCGTTAAAAAGAAATAGAACAAGTACACAAACAGATGTTGATTATTCATCACGTCTGTATTATAGGCACATTTTTCATATATTACTGCTGTGCGTTATGCACTCCATAACCATTCATTTGAGGCCACACCAATGGTTTCCCAGTATTCAATACCCTTCATATTTTATGGGCTGTGCTCTATAAAAAGAGCCTAAGTGGTGCTGGAGCCACACCAACAAACTACAGAAAGCTTTGGCTTCTCGTTCTAAGTGTCAGTGCTCATAGCAGTGCTCATCTTGCACAGAATCCTTCTAGCCTTTAGCAGTCAATCCTTTTTTCTAAATGGCAGACGAGTCCATTGACTCAGTTACTGATTAATATTGTCATTTTGTGCATATTTGTGCCCGAGTGCTTTGCAGAGATTAAGATAAGATGCCCAGCAAATTGCAAGTAGTTATTAATGAGATTTGCCAAAATTAGACAGGTTTGAAGGAAAACGGAAAAGTCGAAAATGCATGAGTATCTTTTTGTGAATCTCCTTCAAATACAAACACTAGACACATCATTTACATAACAATGAATGGAAATCTCATCAGCCACTAACCTGGCTGGTCCAAATGAGGGGGGCGGGGCTCGTTAAACCTGTGACCCCGCCGTTTGTCTGGCCGTTCTTTGGCTTTCTGCTTCAGACACTGAATCATGAAGTATTCCAGCTGTATGAAGATTCAAAGGCAAGCGTGTAAATAACATCCAAATACACCACAAATCACAGCAACACCAAATATGGTGGAATATTGGCGGCTATTTAGAAAAAAATTCTAAATTGTGTCTTTGAACAGCTTGTCAATGGGGCAGCACCTTTAAAGGGACAACAATTGTTTTTTTGCACATTTTTTGCACATTTTTACAACAAAAAACACAGTTACAGTTATGCACTTGCAAAAGAAGTAAATGGGGCAAGATTGGCTGATTAATAAAGTATTCCGCCCAGTGAGTTTCAAAACCACAAACAGCTTTGTCAATGGATAATGTACATTTTCTGTTTTCATATATTTTTAGTGAATTGTGTAAACAGCTTCTATTAAATCAAAACAATCTCATCAATTTTCCTTTCTCATTTTATTTTTTATTTTACATCGTATTAGTCAGCAGCAATAGTACAGTGATCCCAACAGGAGTTGGATAAAGGGTCCTATGAGATCACAAGAAAACAAACTTTTTGTTATGTGAAGATCATGAAATAAGTTAAGTCGAGATGGCAAGAAAACAGCTCGTTATATCACGATAATGAAAATTAAGCTGAGATCATGAAAAAAAAGGAAAAATAATATTAAAGTACAGTTTCTTACAACTTCCATAAAATATTCTGTAAAGTAAGTGCTCTTTTAATTGTGCGATTTTGTGCACATCTTAATTGGTAGCATTAAATTGCAGGAATGCATGATACATACACTACACTGGTACTTGCCAATTATGGAAATTTATCGACCAACATTGGATATTTTGTCTGCATATTTTGAGGTTTACATCAGATTTAACCCTTCTTTCCAGAATGCCTTGCCTCATAGACATCCATTTTAAGAGCATTTCTTTAAACTTGTTTTTTTTATTGTGTTTAAGCTTAAGAATGAGAAAACTACTGTCTCCATATTACATGTGATAAATACTGTCAAGAGAGCTTAAACGCTCTTAAAGTCTCAAATCTAATTAGCCATTTAGCAGAAGCTTTTATCCAAAATGACTTATAGTACACTTATTGCACTCTCCCTGGAACGACTGGGGCTCCAGGTCTCAGTGGTGATGGATGGGTTTTATATTTCACCTGAGGCATGGAGTTTATAAATTACCCCTCACTGGTTTTGAACCTCCAACCTTATGGTTACCAGCCCGGAACCGCTAAACCACAAGTACAATTCTTCTGCATACTAATGAGACTTTTTAAACAATGATTAAGAGAAAAAGAGACACTTACCACACTGCCAAAGTAACGACCCACAAAAAAGTTGTTTAGAGATGGCAGCTCCAGGTAAGTGGCCCCCAGGTCCCTGGACAGCTGGAGCCCCTCACTGTGGGGCACACAGCTGCTCCAGTCGGATGCACACAGTGGACATGTGCACGGCGGGCCTTCATCTGTACAGGATGACAGTGGGAAACATAATAAAAATGTGATCCACTCTTAAAAATAAAGATTCCAAAAGCATTTTTTACAGTGATGCCACAGAAGATCCATTTCGGGTTCCCAAAAGAACCGTTCAGTGAACAGAACCATATTTTTCTTAGTGTAAACAACATTTTATTAATCTAAAGAGCTTTTTCCACTATAAAGAACCTTTTGGGCAAGGGAAAATTTCCATGGATGTTAAATGTTCTTTAAAGGAACTTTTATGCAAACGTATTACTGATGCACAATACAAATGACATTTGTAGAGCAAGGGGCCAAATAAAGCACGTAAACATGTCGACTCGCACTGACAGAGAGTACATAACATTCAGAGAGATGTCAACAGGCAGACATATGGAGCGACAAAATCCGAGTCTATATTATGTAATAACGCATGCCAGCTCAAGTTTATACCAGCGTAAATTTAAACCTCGGTAAGTGTGTGTGCGACGGGCAGAGAGAGAGAGTGGCAGTGACAGAATGAGAGACCAGGGATAGCTGGATAAAAACAATGTGTGTGTGTGTGTGTGTGTGTGTGTGTGTGTGTGTTAGGAAGAGTTGGCCCGGCCAGTAGGGCGAATGCCTGAGGGAACAGAAGAGCAAGTAAAGTGATAGCAAGAAAAGAGCTAAATGGAGAGAGAGATAGATGGAGTGAGAATGAAAGAGTGGAAGAAGGAGACGTGAAGAGGGCACAGGCAGGAAGAGGAATGAATCACTGTAGCCAATAAAAGAAAAAGCCCAGAGAAATGGAAAAAGTTGTACCGCGTGAGTATGTGTGAGCATGTTTTGGCCTCGGGTCTCTCCACGGCCAAGCAACGGGAAATGCAGCATAATTCTCATGACACAAACCCATTAGCATGAATATCACTATTGCTCACACTTAGGAGTATTAGAAAAAAACAAACCCTTAAGTGTACATCCTAAAGGGATCGTTCACCCAAAAATTAAAGTATTTATTTTAATTTGACATTTTTACGAATTCATTAATTGGTAATTTTTCAACATTTCATGAACCCTAGTTTGAGAAAGCCCGGGCAAGAACCATTTCACAAGTCTTAAACAAACCACATTGTGTTCGTTTCTCCTCCATTATCCTTCGGGGATAAATGATGTAGCTGGATGGAATCACATCTTGATGAATTATACATCTCAAAGGTCACACTGTGAGCACAGAGCTGCCGCTTTTACAGCGAATGGAGCCAAATCTGTGGTCTAAGTACTTTCAGTCTATAAATATTTACCTATGAGCATATTCAACAAACGCTCACAGCGCAACCGCGCTCAGCACATCAAAAGAGCGCCAAATCTCGGTTCGATCAGACTTTTTCCTTTTCCTTGAAGTCAGAAGCTTCTCGTATGCTGTGTTGCTTCTGAAGATCAGTAATGGTTAACTAGTTCAACACCCCAGTTCCATAGTGTTCCTATATGTTTCATCCATTTAAATTAAGTGAATGTTGCTCTTAGTCATTATAGGAAAGTTTAAAAGTCAACTTTACTGTCTGATACTTTGATTGACATGAGGTAATTAAGATTAAATGATGCATAATCCTAATTATCATTAGTACTTTACATTATTTGCTCTGCTTACAGTACTTAAGCACACATTCCATAAGCAAAACCATCAGGCAATTTTTAACCAGAGTTTATTTCAATTGTTTCCATTAAGTCCATTATCTCCCAAGTCTGCACTACAAAAGGCTGACTGACATTTATTTTTCTTTAAAACTTCGTAATAGAGAAAAATACCTCAAGTGAACACTAAACAAATGCAAAACAGAAACAGCCAATCACATCTCACCATTTAGCCTCGCCCCCACGGCTACCAGAATCACAGGAACACCCCAGTGCCGAAGAAGAGGGCGAAGTCTTGGGGCGTAGACGTTTCGGACCTGCTGAAAGGCCAGTTTGTCGTTGACCGAGTACTTAATGACCACAATGTCGGCCTGCTCCACAACACTCCGCACGCTCGCCCAGTCGCTATCCAAAAGATCCTGCGATTAAAACGAAGGGTTTTAACCTGGGATGTTTAAGAGGGCATATCTCAGTAGCTCAGCATCTGTTCCACCAATCAGCTTATGAATATCACTGCTAAATTCCTCTTAGTCCTCCAATCAGGTGGAAACAACTCTCTTCCCTGCAGAAACCCTAATCCTGCTTTTGAATCCCATCATCCCTCTCTCATTCACTCTCTTACTCACCCAACTAGGACAATCCCGCACCATCACTCTGACATCCCCGAACACTATAGACTGGTACTCCATAAACGCAGGGTTCAAGGGAAGCCTTGATGGCGTCACCGAGTTTGGATCCAATTCCCGAGCTCCGTGGCCCAGGTAACTCCACAACAAGCCACCTTGGAACTGTCCCGGGCCGGCCGTCTCATCCCCAGGCCCGACGCCCCCAGGACACTCGCTACCCAGGGCCACTATGTGGACAGACCTGAGGGACATAGAAAAGCCTTTAGTGGTTTACAATTACAATCCAACCAGTTGTCTTTATATAAGCAATCACAGCTCACAGCATTTACACAAAGCCCTCAACGCTCCCTGCTCTGTAAAATGTTTGTAATTTTTAAAATGAAGAAAATTTAAAAAAATGCTGCAGTTAAAAACCTGTTAACTGCTTAACTGTAAGTTACTTTTCCATATACAGTAAGAACTGTAACTGGTTCAACACTTCATAATGTGTAATTTTACTGTAAAATACTGTCAAATGTATGGGTTTTGCAAGTAAAAACAATGAATTACCTTCACAGTTAATTTTTTGTTAGTTCAAGTAGATTTGTAAATTAACATTATGTCAGTTATTAGTGAAAATTATAAAGGCACCAGTATTTTACTGTGTACAACCACAACTGACAAATCTATATATAACAGTAAAAACCTGTTTACTGTAAGTTACCTCACTGGTGTTATATATATATATATATATATATATATATATATATATTAAAAGCAATAAATGTATTATTATTATTATTATTATACTGTTAAATAATGATTTAAAAATGCAAATGAAAAAAATATATATAATTTAATTAGAAAATGTAGGAATATAGTAAAATATAGTAAGTAAGACAATACATTTTTATGGTAAAATATGACATGTATTTATTTATTTATTTTATGAGTAGAAAGACCATTTTCATATGCAGGGCCCAGGACAAAATACAAAGACATTTACAGTTAAGAGACCAAATGCATTATACGATGCCACTTTGGACTCTTAACTCTGCATACTGTATATATATTTTGATATGATTGTTGTAGTTATGTGCTAATTATTACTATTGCACACAGCTTATTTTGTATGCAAATGCATGTTATAGCTATAGTGCAATATTTGCATGTATGCATATTATATATATATATATATAATCATTATTGTTGTTTATATTATTTTATTGCAACACGCACCTTATGTGCAAATGTCAATGTGTCAATGCCCAGTAACAGTTAGTGTATTGATTTTTATGTCATGGTACTGTAGCATAACTGTCAATTCTGGGCTTCGGTCATAGCAAAGCAAGAATCATATGCATACTTACATGATCAACAACCGTCCGCTGGATCAAGGCTCGGGGAGCACGTATTTCAGCGGCGGGCTTTTACATCAATATCCGGCTGTTTTCCGCAATGAAGGTCGGACACGGTACAATCCCTCAGCAGAATGAAAAAGCGAACGGTTCATTCATTAAACACGCGCTTGAAAAGTGAAAGAGTGTCAGGTGCGCAATGAACCGTCTGTAAACACACACATCCAGGCAGAAACGATCAAGGGGATCCTGCGCTATAGGAAGTTCATACTCCACCGTGAACAGGGATCCGGCGCTTCCCGGGACGCATGGCACGATCTGAGCCCTGAAACCAGACGTCACTTGAGCATAACGTCAAAGCTCATGGGTCAATGAGATAAGAATATAGAGGAAAACAAAAGAGAGCAGCGCGAGTGGGTGCATCCTGACTCAGCAAACGATAGGACGGACGTGGACACTCGCTGTCCACACCGCACACATGGGCTGCGCACACTGGCTGCTCGTGTTAGCGCTGTGCCTCTGCTGTCTTTGTCTGTTCAAACCAATGGCACTTTCAGTCATTAATACATGATATGAGAGAGTTATTCCCAACAAATAAAAATGCAGTCCTTCAGTACCCTAGCCAAAGTCAAAAGAGCCCATTGCCACGCCAGAGCTGAGAATTGGCAGGGGCCCCTGGGGGCACCCCGAGGCCCTTGGGTATGAGATAACAATATCTATGCTTTGCTTTCACAAGCACCACTAATTAGACATGCTGCATGCTGACACCACTGCATGACGTGAGTGGGATGCATGTACTGACCCATACAATTAGTACCTCTATATTTTGGGCTTTCAATGCACTGATCCTCTAGGTTGCAGTGGTAATAATAGGCATGATACAATTATAACAATTGCATGATAATTATTGCATGATACAAACAAATAAACACTGATTAGACTCTTTATTTGTGTATTACTTTAGCTGTAGATTGCTGTTTTCTTTCAGACTGTCTGCCAAGCAAATAGAGCATTATTTAATATTATATTATATATTGATTTTTTAAAAATGTTTTTTAAATAAGTCTCACCAAGGCTGCATTATTATTTTTTTTCAATGATGCAGTAAAAACAGTAACATTGTGAAATATTATTACAAACGGTAAACTGATTTCTATTTGAATATATTTTAAAATGTAATGTATTCTTGTGATGCAAAGCTGAATTGTCAGCGGTCACTCCATTCTTCAGTGATGCACGATCCAGAAATCATTCTAATACGCTGGTTTGCTGGAAATATTTTTTAATATCAGTGTCGAAAACAATTGCTAAATGGTATTCTAAATGTTTTTACTGTCACTTTTGATCAATTTAATACATCCTGGCTGAATATAAGTATTTTTTTCTTTAAAAAAAAAAGCTACGATATTTATGTGTATGTTTGTATATATAATTAATAATAATTAAATGAAATAATATGTAGATGTAAAATTGCAGCTCAACCAGCCTATTCATTTAGAAAAAAAAAGAGTATCTCTGAATTATGGGGAAAAAAATGTTTTTTGTTTGTTTGCAGTAATTAAATTATTTTCTTTTTAATATTTTAAAATATCTTTCCTTTACTGATGCCCCTATAGTGAGCCACTGTTGTAGTACAAAGGTGTAGTAAATTCAGAGTGGATCTGCTTGAGGCAATGTATTGATGCTGAAAATGCTGTTTAAAAATAGCATTTGACCCTATAACCTAATATGCAAGGAATAAAAGCTGTTTTGTTTTTTTTGTCCTCTTCGTCTGCGATAATTAGTTGTTATTATTCCAATTCTATCACAGCATCCCATTCATAAACAGGCTCTAATGCTATTATTAGCCAATTGTTGTGTACATTTAAATTTGCCTTGTTTGCCACAATATAACATCAAAAAGCCTCAGCACCCTTCAGATCCTCCTCTGAGATCACCAAAATAGCATAAACTCTCCTGAGCTGCAGCGAATCAAAGCTCCCATTCCACCTTATTTCCGTCAGTCATGCTGTCCTGAGCTTCTGGAAGGATTATCTTAATTCTACCATAACAAGCTTTTTATCCATATAACAGGTCTAATAATCCTACACCCACCGTCGTCTAATGCAAAGTCTTCATCATTATACTCAGGAAGATTACTGAATACGAGTATAGAGGTGTTGTTATTTTGTATATGGCCTAGTGGGATTTACATCAAATATAGTATTCTCAACTTCCAGAATTCACTCATTACGCCGCCCTGCATAACATTTGCTGAATGGAATCCAATACTTGTTACTTTCTCATTTTGGGGTGCTGATTCCCGAAAACAGTGTCTGTTTTTCTCTATCATGTCGTAATATTTCAAGGTTAGAATTCTTTGGAAGCTTGTTTCTGCCACAGGATTAAACATTTTTAAAACGTAATTGCGACTTTTTATTCTTTAGTCAAGTTTTTCCTTTCAATTCTGAGTTATATTTCACCATTTAAAAAAAAAAATTCTCAGAATTGCATTAAGTCGGAATTGTGAGATATAAATTCAATTCAAGTCCCAATTTCCATTTTTTATTTTTAATTCTGTGGCATTAAAAAAAACAGAATTGCAAGATGTAAATTCAGAATTCAGAGAAAAAAAGTTAGAATACTATACAAACAGCAACAGAAAATTACAGATTTTGTGAAAAAATTGCTTATTTAAAAACTTTTGTTTATGTGAAGTTCATTAAATGGAGTTATATTTCTTTATCACGCTTCCCCACAAACGTCTGTTGTTGAGTAGATACGAAATTCCGTGTAAAATGCGGATTGCTTTATGGCAGCGATGTGTACAGTTAACCACCGTAATTACGACAGTGAATTCCACTCACTTAACTGAAATTGGCTCCAAAGTCGCAAAAATACACAAAACTACATACAGTTGCGTTAAGTGTCACCAGCCCACCGGTGGGCCCGCAGCCATTACATCATTTATTGCCTATTTACTCTATCAAAAATGTTAGTAATGACCCTAAGTTAGATATCATTTGAAAGCTTAAAACCTCAAAATTCATCCTGTGAAACCCATTTTGAAATCCATCATGGAAATGGTACTTTAAAATCTTTTGGCGGTCTCCTCCCCCTAAGTGGGCGGTGTCAAGTGTCATATTACAAAATGTATTATGGTATTTTACAATCAAAACTTTTTATAATCTTGACAAAATACATATCGTTGGAAAGGTCTGAGTCTCAAGATTCCCTATTCTGTGATAGTAGGTTATTTTAGTGATAGAAGTAATATTGACAGGAAGGTCAAGGACCAGGTGGCCGTTTGTGGTATAACGCCCTAAATAGAACCTCAATTTTTTTTTATATTAACTTCAAATTTGGAATATAACTTATTTAGACATAAGGCTTTAATTTTATAGCAATTTTAGTGCAAATATAAATTTAAAATATTTATTTTATATAAAATAAAATAAAAATTGTACAGTGCATTTTCTTTACAGTAAATTTAAACTTCTATAACTTTTTGATACTTTCATATTTTGAAATGATTCCACTTCTACAATAAAATGCTGATTGTCTTCTTTAAAAAGAGTCCAACCTTAGGTCTGTATTCCAAAGCTGATTGATGTTTTTGTACTCGGCATCATCAAATTAGGTAATATTAGGCTTTTTTTCTTTTTTTTTTGTAAATAACAGTATTTTTTTTTTCAAGTTTAATCTGAGGTTTCATCCTGCCAGTCCTTTTTGTTCTATAAACTAAAATAAACTATTTCTCTTTGTCAACAAGCTGAAATAAATTCTAAAACAGGCACTTTTTTACAAGCACTGCTGAGAGGTGTATATGCTTTTTTAGGGCTGCTTGGTTGGCGTACCATTCAGAACATTTGTTTTTAAAGGGCAGGATGGGTTACTGTAGGTCATCTGCCAAGCAGAATCTTATTTCTACTCCAATGCACAATCACGTGCCCCTCGTGTGCCCCTCATTCTTGGCCCAGAGATCACAACCGCTCTACAGGAAAGTCTACCTCCT